TCTCAAACTGCTGAATTCAAGTGATGCACCTGCTTCAGCCTCCCAAAGTGTTGGGATTATAGGTGTGAGTCACTGCACCTGGCCCCAGCATGAATGCTTTCCATGTTGTTCCAGGAGATGAGGGCCAGGTATTGTCAGCATGCCCACAGGCTTTCCTGGGGAACTCCTGGGATAAACCACCCTAGGTCACCCTCTGCCCAGTATTTTCACACTAGGAAACTCAGGACAAAATGAGATGTAAGGCTGGGTGTGGTGGCTTATGCCTGTAATCCCAGTACTTTGGGAGGCTTGGGGTGGGAGGATTGCCTAGGCCCAAGAGTTTGAAAACAGCTTGGGCAACATAGCAAGATCCCCTTCTCTACGAAGAATTAAAAAATTAGTCCTTCACGGTGGTGTGCATCTGTAGTCCCAACTACTGGGGAGGCTGAGGCAGGAGGATTGCTTGAGCCCAGGAGATGGAGGCTGCGGTGAGCTGCAGTTACACCACTACATTCCAGCCTGGGCAACAGAGTGTGACCTGGTCTCTAAAAAATAAAAACACAAAATGAAATTTAAGATAAGTGATTTTGGCCAGGCATAGTGGCTCATGCCTGTAATCCCAGCACTTTGGGAGGCCAGGGCGGGTGGATCACCGGAGGTCAGGAAATCGAGACCAGCCTGGCCAACATGGTGCAACTGCCTCTACTAAAAATACAGAAATTAGCTGGATGTAGTGGCGCATGCCTGTAATACCAGCTACTTGGGAGGCTAAGTGACAAGAGTAAAGCTCCATCTCAAAAACAAAAAACAAAAACAAAAAATCCTATGTAACTGGCAGAGTGTTTGAGAATTAGAAAAGACTTTTTTTTTTTTTTTTTTTTTTTGAGATGGAGTCTCAATCTGTCGCCAGGCTGGAATGCAGTGACATGATTTCTGCTCACCACAACCTCCAATTCCCTGGTTCAAGCGATTCTCCTGCCTCAGCCTCCTGAGTAGCTGGGATTAGAGGCATGCACCATCACGCCTGGTTAATTTTTGTATTTTTAGTAGAGATGAGTTTTCACCATGTTAGCCAGGATGGTCTCAATCTCCTGACCTTGTGACCTGCCTGCCTTGGCCTCCCAAAGTGCTGGGATTACAGGTGTGAGCCACCGCGCCAGGCCAGAGAAGACATTTGGAAGCTTTGCCTTGGTCTTGGCAGGGGACTTGGGGGTGACAGCATATATATGTGCACCAAGTGTTTCCCCGTCTAAGTACCAATTACTACTAGCACTCCGCCTTCTCCCCTCACTGGGTCATTGCTATAATAGTAGAAGCTAGGGATGAGCTGGCATGGTTGATTTCCACACAGCCTCTGTGAAGAAGAGAAAGAGCCAGGGAAGATGTGGAATATGATGGTGACATGGCTGAAGAGGCGAGGACAGGGGATTCGGGAGCCTGGGGCAGCTCTGTGGACCCAATCTTAGCAGCTATTGAGACAAGGGATGTACAAATGGGATCAGAATGATCTGTCAGAAGATGAGGGTTTAGGACCTGAGGTTCACGTTGTGCGCAGCATCTGAGTGTGCTGCTGCTGCGTGGGTCAGCTAGTTAGAGCCACGTTTCTGTGTGATGCTCTGCTCTCCTGCATGCTCCGTTCTCCTGCAGCCAGTCCTTCCCCCTGCCTCCCACATTCTTGATGAGCTCTGTGACTCAGCTGCTTCTCGGGACATCTGAGCAGCTGCTTTTTTCTAGGGATAGATCTGCAGTCAGGAGATGTTGTAACCTGAATGCTTATCTTTCCCGTGGGTCCGTGAGGGCCCTCTCCCACCTCGAGGCCCCTGAAACAAAATTGGACTTTGGGAAGATTGTGGAAAGAGTGCCTTCTTTAGCCCCTGACTTCAGAAAAAGACAGGCATGACCAGAGGCGGTGGCTCATGCCTGTAACCCCAACACTTTTGGAGTCTGAGGTGGGTGGATCACCTGAGGTCAGGAGTTCGAGACCAGCCTGGCCAACATGACAAAACCCATCTTTACTAAAAATACAAAAATTAGCCGGGCGTGGTGGCATGCACCTGTAATCCTAGCTACTCAGGACACTGAGGCAGGACAATCACTTGAACCTGAGGAGGCGGAGGTTGCAGTCAGCCCAGATCATGCCACTGCACTCCAGTCTGGGCAACAGAGCGAGACTCCATCTCAAAAAGAAAAAAAAGAAAAAGACAGGCATGATGGATCCTGCAGGCTAAAAGGAGAAATTCGAGAGCCAGTGTTAAGTTGGACACCGTGCTTACCGACTGGGCTCAGAGACAGCTTTGCTCTTCCACGGCAGCTTGTGTATTTCCTCTGATGCCTCAGGAGTAGTGATAGTTTTTGCAGCCCCTGCAAATTCTGTCTCCGTGACTGGTTTGGCATCAAGGGGGTTTGCCTGGTTTTCTTGGGGTGCTGGGGATCATTCTGAACAGGCAGCTCTGCACCCTCCCAGAAGGCAGACTCAGCCCTTCTGGCGGGACTCCCGTTTCCCCACCACCCCAGGGAGCTGTGGCTTCTCTCCAGGATATGCTTCCCCCGCCCCAGCCAGCGCCGGACTGCTTCCCTTGCTGCCTTTGACCCAGTGTCTGCTGCGAGACTTCACGTTCCTCCCGTGGCGTCTGTTCCTCATTCTTGCCTGTGCCTGTCTGTCTCCTGTTTCTGAACTCAAACTTGCTCCATGGTGAAACTGGAGCTGGGATGGAAGTGTTGTTCTAGGAGGCACTGGGTCCGTCCACAGGTGCTATATGGAAGGATGCTGCTTTGGGCAGGGGTGTGCTTCCCCCAGCCTCTGCTGTGCGGCAAGACGTCCTTCTCCTCTGCTGTGTTTCCCAAACCTCCTCTGCCCACTGCTGATCCTTCTCACCACCTCTTTTACGGCAGCTCCTCTGACTTCTGTAGCTGTGCTGTTTCACCTCTGCCCTGTTTCTCCCCTGCTTTGCTATTTGTCCTTTATCCTTTCTCAGTGAGTGGCTGTGGGATCCCCAGACGTCTCCCTGATGTCTTTGTCTTCTGTCCCCCTGACCTCACCTGGATCAAGGGATTCGTGGGTCACTGGTATCCATGTGTGTGTTTGGGGGACATTTGTTCCTAGGGGCTGCCTCTCAGCACTGCCCCTTGTGGGGGTGGGAGAGACCACCACCGATTGCCACCAATCGCCACACCACCAGTTGCCATCCTTACTTAGAATTGGCCTGATCTGAATCTGCCTGGTGTCACCCTGTGGGAGGGTGTCTCCCTCTGGGCCTGCAGGACCAGGGCTGTCGAGTCTCTGTACCTCACCTGCTGACCCAGTGTTCTGTTGCAGGGGATGGCCTGAGCCAGCCATCTCACAAGTTTGTGTGGCTGTGGACAGAGGGCCTCCATGGACTGGGGCTATTTGGCCACCATGAACTTTGCTCTGTTGGAGTCATCAGTCATCTGAGGGCCTAGGGGTTAGGACTTCCACATAGGAATTTTGAGAGGACATAATTCAGCCCACAACAGTGACAGCAAAATGACATAAGAGTTGCTGGGCCAGGGCTGTGACCCTACCTCAAGGATCCAGAAACCTCTTGCCTTTTAATATCTTAGTATCTTCATGGAGCTGCAGAGGCTGTCCTTTGTGACTTAATTCCTGGCAGAATTTTCGAAAAATTTTTTTATGTTTAATTTTTGTGGGTACATAATAGGTGTCTATATTTATGGGGTACATGAGGTGTTTTGATACAGGCTTGCAGCATGTGACAGTCACTTTATGGAAGATGGGGTATTCATCCCTCAAGCGTTTATCCTTTGTGATATAAACTGTCCAGTTATACGCTTTTAGTTTTTATTTTATTTTAGTGAGACAGAGTTTCACTCTTGTTGCCCAGGCTGGAGTGCAATGGCGTGATCTTGGTTCACTGCAACATTTGCCTCCTGGGTTCAAGAGATTCTCTTACCTCAGCCTCCAGAGCAGCTGGGATTACAAGCATGTGCCACTATGCCCAGCTAATTTTTTGTGTATGTGTATATATATATATATATATAGACACACATACATATGTATGTGTGTGTATATAGACACAAATATATATATACATATATTTGCGTATATATACACATATATATATATACAAAATACATATATTTTACTATACATATATATGCTGGGCATATACATATATATAAAATATATATATGCTTTTCAATTAGCAATAATTGCGCCTCGGATAAACCTCATTGGCTACGATACTGCCACTGCGCAAAGCTATTTTTTTAATTTTTAATAGAGATGGAGTTGCACCTTGTTGCCCAGGCTGGTCTCGAACCCCTGACCTCAAGTGATCCACCCGCCTCGGGCTCCCAACGTGCTGGGATTACAGGCATCAGCCACCATGTCCACCCTCTTTTAGTTATTTTAAAATGTACAATTAAATTATTATTGACTATAGTTATTCTGTTGTACTATCAAATAGTAGGTCTTATTCATTCTTTCGAACTATTTTTTTGTAGCCATTAACCATCCCCACCTCCTCCCCGGCCCACTACCCTTCCCAGCCTTTGGTACCATCCTTCTACTATCTCCATGAGTTCAATTGATTTATTTTTGGATCCCACAAATGAGTGAGAACATGAGATGTTTGTCTTTCGTTGGCTGGCTTCTTTCACACTTAACATAATCATCCCCAGTTCCATCCATGTTGCTGCAAATGACAGGATCTAGTACTCCATTGTATATATAAGCCACATTTTCTTTATCCATTTATCTGTTGATGGCCACTTAGGTTGCTTGCAAATCTTAGCTATTGAGAACAGGGCTGTAATCCTGGGCACATAGAGCCTCAGAAAAGTGCACGGAATATGTGTGAATGCATTTTTATGGGTGCTTAATATTGGGAGTGGTTTCCAGGGTTTGTGGTAGAACATTTGGTGCCCCACAGAAGGAAGCTGGTGAGAGTCTCAGTCCAGCTTCTGGGAAAGATTCCCGCAGGTCCTGAGGCAGAGCTGCTTCATCTTCGTTCTCATCAGCACCTCCCTCCTGCGCACAGGGTGATGTGAGCAGAGCCCAGGAATGCCTTATGTGGATCGGCAGAACCGAATCTGTGGGTTTCTGGACATCGAGGAGCATGAGAACAGTGGCAAGTTTCTGCGGAGGTACTTCATTCTGGACACCCAGGCCAACTGCCTCCTCTGGTACATGGACAACCCCCAGGTGAGATTCTTGGGTCAGTGGGAAGGGGTGGGGTGACTGGGTGCCCATCACTGCGCTGGAGGAATGCACACGGGGTTAGCCTCCAGGCCTAGGCTCATGAGTAACACAACCTGAGGATCAGCAGGGAGAGGTCAACTCTACAACACACACAGACACACACACACATACACGCACACACGAACATTCATGTGCACATACACCACACACACACCCCATACACACATACCACACAGACACACACACCTCATACACACACACCATGCATACCATACAGACATCAGACATATACACATGCACACACCATATACACACTACACAGGCGTACACATGCATACACCACATACACATACCACGCATGACACACACCATACACACATATATATATGTACATACATACACCATACACACATACATGCCCCCATACACACACACCACACCCACATACACACAACTCACACACACACACAACACACACAGACACACGCACACATGAACATTCATGTGCACATACACCACACACATACCCCATACACACATAACAGACACACACACGCACCTCATACACATGCATCTCGTACATACACGCCACACATACCATACAGATATCACACATATACACATGCACACACCATATACACACTACACAGATGCACACATGCATACACCACATACACATACCACACACGACACACACCATACACACATATATATATATATACATACATACACAGGCAGACACATACATACACCTTATACACACACATCACAACCATACACACACCAGACACACCATACACACACACATACCCCCATACACACACACCACACCCACATACACACACAACTCATACATACACACCATAACACACACAGAGACACACACACACACACCTCATACACACACACTCCCGTACATACACACCACATGTGCATATACCCCATGTACACACAGACACATACACGCACACATACAGACACATATTATAGGCACACACACATACACACACATACCGTACACACCACACACACGCACACACACACACAGGAAACCATCTCAGATCTTAGCTTGGAGAGAAGGACGCTCTCCTGACCCTGGCATCTGGTGTCTGCTCTCTCACATAGAGGCCAGCCAGGATCTGCCTGTGAGATCCAAGTCCTGCATCCAGGCTCCAAGGCATGGCTTGTTTCCTGTCACTTCTCTCTAGGGCTGTGGCCTGTGGCTGCTCCTGCTCTTCTAGTCTGGGGGCCCCTCCCCAGCAGAGAGTGTGACCTGCTTCCCTCAGCTGGACGCACGTTGGACTTCTTTGGTCTCCTGACTCAGGAAGCCCTAGAATCCTGGATTGGAGGTGCCCTTGGAGGTCACCCAGTTTTGTTGCCTCATGGTGCAGATGAGAAGAGAGCCTCTGACACTGCACTGAATGTAGTCAAGGACGTGGCCAGAATTAGGTGACTTGCTGAGCATCTTGCGGAGGTCAGGCACAAAGATGGGGGCCACCTATCTTTGATTGCTTTGTCTGGGAGTCCCTGGAGTCATCTCTGCTCTGGGAACAAGTTGCTTCGCCCTGATTTGGGATCTCAAGGCTTTTCTTATTCTGGCCCTGAGTGCTGCTAGCTCTTTCCCTCCCCCACCCTTGAGCAATTTGGTGTTTGAATGAGCCTTCAAACACTGGCTTGACCTCTGAACAGCGAGGTCATAGGTTGTGGCTGTGTTGGGATGTAGAAGGGTGTGAGGTCTGGGATTTGGCTTTGGTTCTGAGGTTTGGGAAGAGGAAATTCTGGATGTCCTGGGGATGGAGTTGTGTTTTAAGATGTGTTGTGGAAAACGTGTTATGTGAATCTCTAGGTCATTGTCCAGGGACTAATCATCTAGTGGCCTTGGGCATTTGAGAAAAACAGTACAGATGCGGAAAACGTAGTCAGAAAGTCAGCTGCTGCTAATTGCCTTCTCCAGGAAAGATTAACCCTAAGTATAACTGAGCCCCATGTTTCACCCTGCAGCCCTGATAAACCTGTTGCTTATTTTCATTTGAAGTGCTGAGTATTCAGAATGAACCCTTTCTAGGCACATGGTGACACCCTCAGCTCAGCCTGGAATGCTGCTATTTGTCATGTAATGGGCCTAGTTTGCCTTCAGGTCCTGTGATATCATTTTCCCTTCCTTTGCTCTTTTCTTTTCTCTTTTTTTTGAGACAGAGTGTCACTCTGTCACCCAGGCTGGAGTGCAGTGGAACGATCTTGGCCCACTGCAACTTCTGCTTTCTGGATTCAAGTGATTCTCCTGCCTCAGCCTCTTGAGTAACTGGGATTACTAGCACATACCATTGTGCCCAGCTAATTTTTGTTATTTTTAGTAGAGACGGGGTTTTACCATGTTGGCCAGGCTGGTCTTGAACATCCAACCTTAAGTGATCTGCCTGCTTTGGCCTCCCAAAGTGCTGGGATTACAGGCTTGAGCCACCATGCCCAGCCTTTTTTTTTTTTTTAAATTTGGGGTCTTACTCAGTTGCCCAGGCTGGATTGCAGTGATGCAGTCATAGCTCACTGCAGCCTCAAACTCCTGGGATCAAGGGATCCTCCCACCTCAGCCTCCCATGTAGCTGGGACTACAGGTGTGTGCCACCACACTGGGCTAATTATTTTTATTTTTTGTAGAGATTTGGGGTTGGGGGGTATTACTATGTTGACCAGGCTGGTCTCCAACTCCTGGTTTCAAGTGATGCTCCTGCTTTGGCCGGAGTTAAGTCTTTGTTGCCAGTAGACTTGGCTTTGGGCACACCAGAGATGAGCCCTGGGTAACTTATGGGTCTTCGAATTCCCTCTTCATTCTCCTTCTTTGTATACTTCCTCCCACTCACCTGCCATCTGAGCGCAAGTCATTCGAATGGATTTTTGTCTTGATTTACCTGCTTCATGCCATGCTTTCCCACTAGGGCTATGCTTCACCCAAATTGACTTGCTTCGGGAATCCTATCTGGCTGTTGCCAGCTGCCTCCCTGGAGAGTTGGATCTTTCTTTACACCATGGGTCACGGACTGAGACTTGTGCTGTCAGTGGCAAATCACCCAGGACCACAGTGGCACCATCTTAGAACGTGAATATTGACTGTTGTCAGGATTCCCCTCACTCTGATTTGATTGTCACTGGGGACCAGAACCTGCGCTAAGCCTGGATGCTGTGCCTCGGGCAGCCTTCTAGACTCTGTGGGGTCAGCCTCTGCAACAGGTTCCCCAGCCCAGGTCAGGCCCTTACTCTTTCATGCCAGCTGAGATCTCAGAGTGTTTTGTGGTAGAAGCTTCTTTGAGTTTGAATTACCAGGTAGAGCTCACTAGTGGCCCACTGCTGGGGATTCTCTACGTTTTCCTGGGAAGCAGTAGAGCTTACCTGGCTTGGCATATTCTTGAAAAAGGAGAGTCTTGCTATGATACAGAAATAGTTCGGGACATTTTCTTCTTCCGTGGTTGGGTTAGTTCTTTGCCGTGTGAATGGCCAAATAGCCACTCCAGATTTAAACGTGGGTGTTTCAGGTAAGTTATAAAATGGTATTAGTGAGCATTTATTACTGTGTGCCAAGCACACTTCATTGGGTTTTTATTTCATTCTGACAACAAGTCTAATTGGTAGGTATTATTGCCCTCATTCTGAAGATGAGGTAGGTGAGGCTGGCAGGGGAAGAATTTGCCTGTGGTTACATGATAAGAAAATAGCACAGCTGAGATTCTAACCCTGGCAGCCTAACTCTAGTGCCCCTGCTATTATTGCTGATAATGAGACAGGCATCTAAGGGTGTCTTGGGAGAACGGAGAGCCTGCAAAGGTAGTTTCTGATTAAGAAAGAGAAACCTGAGGACTCTCGGGGCTGGGAGGTCCTAGAAGGTAGGGCACTTGTGTGGCTTAGTTTTTGATCATAGTGTCCAGCATTTAATAAATATGTGTTCATTGAATGAATGAATGAATGAATGAACTAACGAGGGCCAGGGAAGGAAGTGGTTAGAAGTCAGGTCCTTAGGGAATGTGGAGCGCCCAACATTGCTTTCCTGGGACTGGGGATAGGGCCAAAATGGAATGGAAGCTCTCTAGAGAGAGGCATCCTGGGGATTTTGGTCTGGAGATTTTGATCCATTCTTACGAAGAGAGGCATTGAGAACTGTGTGTGGTCGTTGAACATCTTTATTTGATAGGAAAAAGGAGACCCCTGATAATGTTTTCTTAGTTGTTTAATAGGCAGTAATAAGCAGAAGATTTTTGGACCCAGGTCTCCGATCCTTGTGTTGAAGCCTCCTGGTAGCTGGTGTTCACTGAGCCTAAATCTGCTATTGCTGCTGCTACTTCTGTTATTACTAATTGCAGCTCATATTTACTAAGTGGTTGTCATGTACCAGCTGTGGTATGAAATGCTTTGAACTTCTCAATAATCCCAGGGCCCAGGGTCTGCCGTCCCTCTTCGCTCCTGGTCGCGCAGGTGGTAAACGCAGAGCTGGAGCCAGGTCCATCTGACTTGGGTGTGCAGCCTCCCTTTGTCTGCCTCTCTCCCCTACTGACGTTTGTGCTCAGCCCTGTGCAAGGTCCTGTAGATGATGTGGAAAATGAGGCCTTTGCCACCAGGACACTTCAGGCTTCGTTGGGGCGAGGAAAACAACACACAGAAAACCATGGTGCTAATAATCCTGGCATATCATTATAACAGGGTAGCATATTATTAAGTGCCAGTGTCAGTGCCTGGATGCCAGTATTTGGGATGAAAGAGAAGGGGTTGCCATTTTCCTTTGCCGCCACCCAGAAGGGAACGATGTAAGACTTGGAGGTAGAGTCTCATACGGAAAGTTCTCAGGGTGGGGAGATGGGAGATAAAGGTTGCAATCTTGGCTCTGCCAATAAGTTGATTTACATCTTAGGCAAGTCATCTATCCTGTGGAGTGTGGGCACTCTAGGTGATCCTTCCACCACCACACCCGGCTAATTTTTGTGTTTTAGTAGAGATGGGGTTTCACCATGTTGGTCAGG